GGAGAGGCCCTACTCACACCTTGATTTCAAACTTCAGACTTGCAGACTCCAGACTGGCAAAGGATCGACTCCTGTTGCTTCAGCCACTCAGTATGTGGTCTTTGTCATGGCAGCCCTGAGATGCCCAGATGCTCTCCTTTTGCGTGCCTCAGGTGAGGTGACCAGTTCACCTTGAACTGCTCCTCCCTCCATCTTCCGTGCACCCACCCTCAGGCCATTTACCACACCCACGAGTCCCTTGTACATCTACTTATTAAATACGATTTCATTAAAATATAAAAAGAAAATAATTAAAATAAAATACCTAATATTTTAATATCAAGTTCAGATCAATCCCCTTTTAAAACTCAGTCCTCAGCAAAACAGGCCGTGCAAGTACAAGGTTGTTACGGTAACTACCAACACTTTTAACACCTCCTAAAATCGATGCGTGACTGTTGGAATATGAAGTGCTCGCATCGCGCCTAAAATCACCTCGCACCCCACCCTGCATTCATTAGTGCCTTGCTTTGAGAACCTCAGAACAAGCAGATTAAAAGAGAAAAAAGGTACTTTTCTTTTGCTTTTTACCCCCAAAAGAAAGGTACCTGAAAAGCTCATATTTCTCCATCTGCTCTGGCTACAAAGCTCACATCTTTTCTCCACCCTCTTCTCTCTTTGATCCATACCTGCGTCTTTCGTGATCTTTGAAGAAAACATAAATTGTGGCCCCAGGAGTGAAACCTGTCTAAGCCTCCACTGTTCATCTGCAAAATGGAATAACCACACCCACCTAGGAGAATTGCTGGGGAAGGGAGGTAAGAGAAGGGCACAGAGTGGAGGATTCCATCTTTATGAAATATCCAGAATAGGCAAATCCACAGAAGCGGAAAACGGAGTCATTGTTGCCGAGATCTAAGAGGAAAGGGGAGCGGGAGTGACTGCTGATGGGCACAGGGTCCCCTTCTGAGGTGATGACAACGTTCTGGAATGAGATCATGGTGGTGGTTGCATGGTATTGTGAATGTACTAATGCTACCAAATGGTTCACTTTAAAATGGTGCCTTTTTTTTTTTTTTTTTTTTTGAGACTGAGTCTCACTCTTGTCACCCAGGCTAGACTGCAATGACACGATCTCGGCCCACTGCAACCTCCGCCTCCTGCGTTCAAGCGATTCTTCTGCCTCAGCCTCCCAAATAGCTGGGATTACAGGCGTGCGCCACCATGCCCAGCTAATTTTTGTACTTTTAGTGGAAACAGGGTTTTACCATGTTGGCCAGGCTGGTCACAAACTCCTGACCTCAGGTGATCCGCCCACCTCGGCCTCCCAAAGTGCTGGGATTACAGGTGTGAGCCACCGTGCCCGGCCGACATGGTACCTTTGATGTTAGGTGTATTTTACTGGGTGTATTGTTGTGTTTTATTTGGTTAAGAAGCATCTGTCTGCAGAGGAGTGACAATGGCCAAGTCCCTCCACTCCTCCGAACTGCAGTTTCCTCATCAGCAAAATGAGTTCATTGACTGAACCCGTGTCACAGGTGGTTATGCCAATAACACCTGTCAATCCTTTGGGCTCTGCCAGGGTACTGACGCACTGCCGCTGGGAGGACTCAAGGTCATAATGCAGATGAAGCACCTGACCTTGGGCCTCCCACTCAGGAGACGCTGGGCACCACTTGATGATCTCAAGACAATCTTAGCCGAGCGCCCACACTTATGTGTGTACTCAGTGAGTGTCCTTTCCCCGGAAGGCCCCAGGCAGGTCCATACGGTATTTGTTCATGAGGCCTGTTTCTGGTGCTCTGATTCAGGATGACACATCGGCCTCAAGCAGGTCATATTTTAAGCTCCGGTAGCCTGGTCTGAGCAATTGGGAACTCTAGATTTAATTCTTTAGGTAATTTGAACGATGCTATCTAATTTCAAATGTCCTGCTCTTATGAATGCAAAAGCAGCATAATTTTTAATTAGTGGGTAAACAGTAAATAATGAATGACAGTAAGTGGACACCACTGTTAATTAAAAATCCGTGGTTGATAAAAATCAATTTGGTCCATGCATTTAACTCCGTCTATCACTTCCCTGCAAAAAGTTGTGTAACTCAACCCACCGCACCATCTACTTTCAGCTGTTATTTCTTTAGTTAAGACTTTTTTGGAGGAAGAGAAAGAGGAAGTGGAGGGAAAGCAAAGAAAAACCAACATTCTACCCCAAGAGCTGTGTTGGAGAAAATGTCATGCAATCATTTATAATTGGTCAATTTTGCTTTTGCAACCTTGAAGTTGAGACTTCATGCATGACCCAGAGGTGACATGATGCTCCTCAAGAGGTGCCCGGCATTGCTTCGCATTTGTGTGTACATGTTCCGAATGCAGCCACACTTCGCTGTATCTCAGAGTCTCCCAACATAATTAAATCCCAGTTCCTCACAGAAAAACAAGATAAATAAAATGCACTCGGCAGAAACACAGAATCTGAGGATTCATGACAAAACACCACTTCAAGGGCCATCTAGTCTCAGTGACTTCAGGGAGGGTGCAGGGGGGGAAAAAAAGTCTTGTTTTCTTTTGAACAGAAAAACACTTCCTCAAGAGCCCAAGTTTTGTGGAAACAATGACAAGATAATTTGCAGGACCCCTTCACTATTTCACTCTGAAACATAAGCTGGATTTTCCTACCAGGCAAATATTGCTGACCCCTTTTGATCCTTTTCCTCGCTCTGTTTTCATCCATTCCCCCAAATCAACACTTTTGGACAGGTTTCATTGACACTGGAGATGTTCAAATTAACCTGCAGAATTGAATCCAGGGAACCCAATGTCTTCTGACGACGCAGATTGCAGAGGCCCCCAAATGCATGAGATGTGGACGCTGCCGCGCACCCATCAGCTCCGGACTTCTGGCGAGTTGTATAGGGACCTGGCCCAACTTTGGTGCCTACCCACCCACTACAACGTCCTGCAACAAATTTCTGCAAATTAGACGTGCTACGTTAAGACAAAACAACCACAGCCTCTCTCTTTCAAGATCCTGCTGGCATTTCATTCACTTGGTAGAGCGGCCCTGAGTGCTGATGAGTCAGTGTGGTGACACCTTGGCCCTGGCTGGGTGGCTATTTGTTTTCATTTCTCCTATTTGGCTAATTAAAGCCAATAATCAGTTGCAGGATGAACCAAGATTACAACAGGGACCTCGGGCTACACCAGCATTTGTACTCATGCCTTCGTTTATTCTGTCGGCCAATGATTGTTGACTGCCCTGAGTTTTACCCCGCCTCCAAGTCAGCCCCTTCTGTGTTCTCTGGGGATGTAAGACAAGCACCGGTGAGGCCGTCACAACCTGAAGTCCAACAACCTGGGCTCACATCCTGGCTTTGCCACATCCGGGTGGCACGCGTCCCGTGGAAGCTAAGCCCATCTCTGAGCTGAGCCTGTTTCTCTGCCCATGAGAGGAAGATAACACTAACACCGACTGCAGGGTTATTGCAAAAATCAGATGGGAATAATGTATAGAAGTGCAAGGGGTCCACACCCAGTTAACAGGTGCTGTCATCCCCCTCGTCATCATCAGCGTCACTCCTGCCTTCTCAGCTGATCACTGGGGACCCCAAAAGTCTCCAGATGCAACCCTCAACCTCAAGGGAACTGAGGAATCCACTCTGCCTCATTTTCCTAAAATACCCCTAGGGCACAGAGAGTTTGGGGTCAAGCAGCTCTGAGGGGGCAGTGGGGAGCCCTCAGCTCTTCTGAACCCCTGTTGGGAAGGTCTGCCTGCGAGGCCAGGAAAGGGACAGAACATGCCATCTGCTCACTTCTCAACTCAGCCCCCAACCCCTCCCAAGGCCTCCTGAAGTTCCTGCCAGGCCCCCACATCCCCTGGCCTGGAGCCCTAAGACTCAGCCCCACGCTGGGTGGGAAGAGCCATGCTTGGAAGCTTCGCTGCAGGAACTGGGCCTCCAGGGCCAGGCCGGCGCCCCTGAGCACAGCCCGGGGCTGCAGTATTTGGACGCTGCTCACTGCTGAGCTTCCCACAGCATCCCGTCATCTGGGCCATCTCAAGCCCGTCAGCCCCGAGTGGAGATGACAGTTTCTGGGAGAGCTGCTGCTCTTTAGCAGCTGAAGGTCTTGGCACTCTCACCTCTGAGCAGCCCAAGAAGAGATCGTGAACAGCCCCACGCCCGGGCTTGACTTGTCTCCAGGCCCAGCCAAGCTCATCCAGGGGTCACTCCAGAGGATCTGGAGCTTGTGCTGCAGTGCCTGCTTCCCGTGTCCATCTTCCAGTCACCTTCTGCCCTGAGCCCAATTCCTCCCCTGGTGTCCAGGCTTAGGGAGCCCTGAAGGAGGGCAGGGCCTGCACTGTTTGTCCTCAGACCTTGGCCCAGGCCTCTGCAGCGGCCATGCATTCTTTCACTTGCCACATGTTCACTGAGCACCAAGTAGACAGCAGGCACCCAGCACCAGGTGAGACCGGAAGCCAGTGGCCTCAAGGGACCTGCTCTGTGCTGGGAGAGGCCAAGCAGCCCCCAGGGCTCCTTGGTGGAGGGGAGTGGTCTGCTCTGGGGATGGGCTAGGGCCCCACTGTCCCCAGCACCTTGAGTCCTGAGTCCCGAGTGCCCTTTGTCCAGGAGCGTGGGTCCTTCCGCCACCTGTGGGCAGCACCTGGTCACAGCTGGCAAGCCCGTGGAAGTTCTGGGCTTCTAGGAGTCTGCTCCACGCAGTTGAATTCTCAGAGGCCTCCCAGCCCCAGAATCTGGGACGGTCTCCATCCAGGAGGCTTGGATTCCAGGGTGATCACATCTGGGAACCCAGGAGGAGATGCGTTGGGGAGGCTGATTCTAGGATCCTCAATATGGGGAGCGCATCACTCTCTCCAGAACTGGGGCACCCTGGGGACAGGGCTGCGATGGAGGGTGCGGGACAGCCCTGCCTGGCTGTCTGTGGCCACAGTGGGGTTGGGAGGGCAGATGGGGTGGGTGTTCTTGGGGCATGCTGGGGTCTTACCCAGGTCTGTCTGCTTTGCAGCCCACACCGCACTGGCGGCTGGGGAGGCTGGGGGCAGCCGCCTGCGCTGGGAACCCCGCTGCCAGCTGCCCTTGCCAGATAGAGTGCCCAGCACTGCAATCCTGCCCCCACGCCTCAATGGACCTTGGATCTCCACGGGGTAAGACCTCAGGTCATCCTGACCATGGGCCCATGGGCTCGGAGACTTCTACCTCTCTGAGACTCGGTGTCCAATCTTTGAAAGAGGCATAATTCACATAGTGATCCAAGAGGCCTGCTATCTGCCAAGCTGCTGGCGATGCTTGCCTCCCCTCCCAGACTGCAATGGGAGGCAGGGACTGTGTTGGGCATCACGTCCATGGACAAAATCCATTCAACACCTTGAGTACCTATTATACAAACCTATTACGAACTGAGTGCCCGGGGTCAGCAGTGGGACGTGCCCTTAACATTTGAACACATGAATGAATAGTATAAACTTGAGATTGCACTAAGCTCTTCAATGCAGGAAATAAAACCAAGGATGTGATAGCAAGTGACTTGGAGGGTTCTTTAGAGAGTGATCAGGGGAGGCTTCTTGGAGGTGGTGACATCAGCTGAGAGCTAAAAGGAGAGGAATCAGCCATCTAGAGGGCCAGGGAAGAGCCAGGCAGAGGGGGCAGCTGGTGAAAGGCCCTGGGGTAGGAAGTGGCAGGCCAGGGAGAGCCTGGGTGCACCCATCTAATTCTGTCTAACCTGACAGGCTCACTCGACATTTCAGAGGCTCAGTTGCTGCTTTGCGGCCAATGGACTTTGCATTCTGTCCTCATCCGTGGTGCACAAACCCTACAGCAGCCAGCTGAGTCCCCACTCCTGGGGCAGGGATTGGGGAAAAGCGTGGCCCCCTCCACACCTGGCACATTCCTCCTTCCCCCAACATCCCCTCCAGGCCAGTCCCATTCTGGGGTCAAGGACTGGCCTCTTGGTGTCCTTCCTGTACCTCCTGAGGTCAGGCAGAAACTCCCAACTGCCAAACATCTGCTAGTGCTTTGGGTGGAGGAAGGGATGCGAGTTCTTCAAGGCCGCTTCGAACACATTTGCAGGCTCAGCCAGGCTGCAAGCAGTCCCCACGCCCACGGCACAGTCCAGGGGGGATCCAGGCATCCACTCGCCAGGGTCACCCAGACAGAACTGGGGTGCAGGAAGAGGGGACACTGGTTGCAGGCCACTCCTGCCCCAAGACAGTAACATTTTGGAGCAGTTCTTCTAAGAAATTTCTTCTAGAACTTTCTTCCTTGAAAGTTCCCTGCCATGCTCTCCAGACGGACCTTGCTGCTTCCTGGGAGAAGAGTGGGAAAGGGCCCAGAGCCTGGGAACCATCGAGCGGTCCAGTGTGACCTACTGTGTCCTCTCAGGCAAATCTCCCCTCTCTAGGCCTTGTCTGAGACCCTCAGGGGTATGGTCACCCCTCCTATTTTTAAGTACCTATACTAGTATTTACTTATCATTTTCTGTAAACCAACTTGCTTTTATTTACTAAAATATATTCATTTATTTTTACAGCTTTATTGAGGTATAACTGGCATACATTGACAGTGTAATGTGATTATTTTTAAAGAAAATGTAATATTATCCTGGATATGGGGACCAGAGCCACTTGTCATAAATTAAAGGCAACTGTAAAATTAAATTCAACGAAAACAAAACAACATAAATCCTCTCTAGATCCGTTGCCGACCCGAGGCTCTGAGTTGCTCTCTCTGGGAGAACAGGGAGGTTGGCACTAAAGACACATTAGCTCTGAACAGAGAATTTCCCCTCAACATTATCAAAAAGATGGAAGAAAAGAAAAGGGAATTATTTCGTTGCTGGGTGATAACATGTTTCCTCTGCTCCAACAGCCCTGCTACAAAAAATATCAAGAAAATAGGCTTGGATCACGCCTGTAATCCCAGCACTTTGGGAGGCCGAGACGGGCAGATTGATTGAGGTCAGGAGTTCAAAACCAGCCTGGCCAACATGATGAAACCTCGTCTCTACTAAAAATACAAAAATTAGCCAGGCATGGTGGTACACGCCTGTAATTTCAGCTACTCAGGAGACTGAGGCAGGAGAATTGCTTGAACCCAGGAGGCAGAAGTTGCAGTGAGCCAAGATTGCAACCCAGCCAAGTGCCTGGGTGACAAAGTGAGATTCTGTCTCAAAAAAAAAAAGAAAGAAAATAGCAGTACAAGAGGGTACCTGGTTAGAGTAAAATCGTGAGGAGGGTGCCTGCTCTTTTTCCCCCCCGACTTCATCCACTGTCCGCCCCACCTGCACCCTCAGTGGGAAGTCCCAAAGGCCTCCTCTGCCCCATCCCGGAGCTGACCATGGATCTAGGAGTCATTCCTCTTTCTTCTCCCTCCAACCCCTTCCCCTGGATCTGTTTGCATCACCAGCAAATGGAGTCTGGGGCCAAGTTCAGCCCACTTTCCAATTTTGTAAATAAAGTTTTATTGGCATACAACCATGCCCATCCATGTACATGTCATCTATAGCTGCATTAGCTCTACAATGGCAACTTTGAGTAGTTGCGGCAGAAGCCACCCAGCCCACAAAAATAAAAATATTTATTACCCAGCCCTTTACAGAAAAAGTTTGCCGACTCCTGGTTTATACCTACAAGCCCTGTCACAGGCAAGGATGAGACCTGGTCAGGGCAGTGAGCCTAGAGAAGGGGGAGACAGGACGGGCCACCGTCATACCTGATCACTACTCTCCCCTCCCTCCATTCACTCAGCAAGGACGGCGGAGGGCGCGGGGCCGGCTCTGGGCCAGGTGCCCAAAGTCCAGTGGGGGAGGAAGCAGGCAGGGCATCCCGGAGCTCCCAGGCCTGTGGGTCCCCAGATGGTTGCAAAAGGGCCTCCAGTAGGGCAATTCGGATTGAAGGAAAGGAGAATGAACTAGAAGGCTTGTGTTGAGGCCATGAGGCATCCAATGCAAAGCCACAGTCCCAAGGGTGGCTGACTGAGAGCAGTGAGGGGAACTGAAGTTGGAGGGGCCCAGGCCTGAGCTGAGGCCTAAGAGAGGGATTGGGGGGAGAACGGAGCCCAGCCCAGAGGAGAGAGGGGCTCGCGGCGTGGTGTTCCCTCCGTACCCAACCCATCTCCTTCCACCCCTGCAGCTGCGAGGTGCGCCCAGGACCGGAGTTCCTGACCCGCGCCTACACCTTCTACCCCAGCCGGCTCTTTCGAGCCCACCAGTTCTACTACGAGAACCCCTTCTGCGGAGAGCCTGCCCACTCGCTGCTCGTCAAGGGCAAAGTCCGCCTGCGCCGGGCCTCCTGGGTCACCCGGGGAGCCACCGAGGCCGACTACTACCTGCGCAAGGTGGGCATCGTCTTCCACAGCCGCCGGGCCCTGCTCCACGTCTCCGGGCGCCTCAACCAGACCCGCGCCGGCCGGGACTGCGCGCGGTGGCTGCCCCCGGCCCGGGCCTGGATGCCCGGGGCGCTGTACGAGCTGCGGAGCGCCCGGGCCCAGGGGGACTGCCTGGAGGCGCTGGGCCTCAGCATGCACGAGCTCAGCCTGGTCCGCGTGCAGCGCCGACTGCAGCCGCAGCCCCGGGCGGCGCCCCGGTTGGTGGAGGAGCTGTACCTGGGGGACATCCACACCGACCCGGCCGAGAGGCGGCACTACCGGCCCACCGGCTACCAGCGCCCGCTGCAGAGCGCACTGGTGAGTGGGGAGGGGGGGTCTCGGGGGGCGAGCTCGGAGCCCAGCCCCGCAGCTTTGCAAGATCTGGGCCGGCCCAGGGCTCTGGCTGTCCGGCTGTCATCACTGCCCCTCCCCACTCTGGTCCACGTGCCTCAGGACATTTGCGCACCCTGTTCACGCTGCTGGAGACATCTTTTTTCAGCCTTTACAAGGCTGGCGGGCCTCGGGTCGGCCTTCCCACGCTGGTCCTCCCCAGCCCCTGTCCTCGTGGGCACTGCAGGATCTCGTTTCTGCCCCTGCTGGGCACAGAGGCTTGGGCGGGAGTCCCCCTCCCTTGGTTCTCGGCTGAAATATCGCTCCAGTTCCCATTCTACTGTTCCCTGTTTCCCGCGAGTGACCTTGCCAGCTCTCAGCCCGTTCTGAAGCTCCGTTGCTGACCTGTTTATTGCCTCTCCCTCTGGCGCTAGGTCCTTCACAAGGGTGGGGTCACAGCGGGCACCTAGCACGACGGGTCAGGCACACGATCAGGACCAATAAATGTGGATGGATGAATTAGGGAGAGGGCAGCTTTCCTCCAGGGTGCCGCTGGGGCTGCGCACACCAGCCCAGATGCCGGTCCCTTGAAATCTCAGTGCGAGCCTCACACCGACCTAGCCGCACAGCCACTGGGGCGCCACTCCCACCCACTCCCAAACCAGACGGCGAAGACACGTGGCCTGGGCTTCTTGTGAGAAGGCCGAAAGGGATCCGTCAGGTCTGGAGGGAGCCCGGGGTTCTGCATTTCCAGCAAGCCGTCCGGGCTGTGGGGAGGCTGCAGTCTAAAGGAAACCGCCCTGTCTTTGACATGCTCCCCCTTGACTCCAGCACGAATTTCATTTAAGCTGATTAACCTAGATTTTAGATGAAGCCATGGCCCGCATACCATCCTAATTTGGGGAAGATCTAGTAGCACCCCACACACACACTTTTTTTTTTTTTTTTTTTTTTTTTGCCAGGTGAGCAAACAGGCAGAAAGAAACATAACTTTACTGTATAATGGCTCCTGGCACATAGCTCAGAGCCTGGCTCCTACAAGGGTGTGGACCTAGGACCTTCCCAGTGTCAGAGAACCCTCTGGTGGCTGGTGAGGCCTAAGGACCCCTCTTCAGAAAATCTGTTTTTAAAAGCATAAGAGAAAATACATGGGATTTAAATGAAAACCGGTTCTATTAAAATAGTTACCCAAGTTTTAAAGTATTAATTTGTGATATAGAAAAACGATAAATGTGAAATCTTTATTTGCCCTCATTTCAAAGCAGGGATGACTGCAAACCATGTTTCCAGTACCTGCAACGCTGTTAGCGTCATACAAAGTCAGAGGTTCTGCTGACGCTACTGGGGCGCGTTGCCTCCATTTACAATGAGAAGAAATGTTAACTTTTATTAGTGAAAGGTTAGTGAAAATGAAGTTGAGGTTAGCATTCCAGGTGAAAAACCTCTGTACAAGGCACCCAATGAGTATTTCTTGAGTGCACAGATGAGCAGATGGAGGGAGGATGGATGAATGGGTGTGGATGGATGGATGGGTTCAGCATCCCCATGAAGTCCTCTTGGAGCTCTTAGGCCACCTTCACATCATTCAGCATGTATTTGTTGCCTACTGTGTACTAGACATTCAAGGAACTAAACCAGATGAGGCAACTTCTCACCCCTGGCAGCAGCCACTTGTCACTGCCCCAATGTGGGAGCACTGTGGATGAGACAGACCGGAAGCCTGCCTTCCTCCCCCTCCCCCTCCCCCTCCCCCTCCCCTTCTCCAAACTGAGGATCTCAGTAGCAGAGGAGGAACATGACACGAAGTTCTCATAATCAGAAAATCAGCCTCAGAGTTCTTTTTATGACCTCGAAATTATTCCCTTTTTGGCAACCAATGTTCTAGGCTGGTGTGGCGTTAATCCTACTTAGTTCAGAGAAGGCGCTAGTGGTGAGTTGATTACTGGCCGCCACCACCTCATTAGGAGGGGAAACTGCTCTGAATGCAGAGAGGACAGATCCCCGGGGGCTGCGGAGGCTGACAATTTCATGCGTCCCCAGGCAGGACTCTGGGGCCATGGCTGTCCCTGCCCTCCCTGCTGCCTGGCTAACCCGGGTGGCCAATCCAGCCTGAAATGTGATTGAGAAGCAAAACACATAGAAATGAATGCAGAGATGAGCAGTGCCAGATGTACAGACATTAAATTAAAGGTCTGCTCACCAGTGGCTCCTCTCCTTGGGAAAAAAAATAAAGAAAAAAGAAAGAGAAAAGACAGATAATTTCAAAGAAGGAACTGCTGCAGAGAAACCCCTAAGAAATGAATCAGTTGTTGCCTTACGCTCTCTGGGGCCCACGCCCTGCCCACGACCCAAACCAGATGGTAAACATGAACATTTTTAGAAGTTAATTTAAAACCAATTGGATCCCCAAATTCATTGCCTGGATATAGAATCCTAATCAATCAGCCAACACCGGACCAAAATTATCTGAGCCTGGTGTCACCTCTGGGGGTTAATTAGAAACTGTTATGTAGTGTTTGAGAAATAACTTTATGTAACAGGCTTAAATGAGTAAGAGTTTGGTTTCTGTACAAGTGTGAATTCTGCCTGCCGGGGGCCTTGTTTACTAACGCAGGAGACTTCAGACCTCTGCAGAAAGATGCCCGGAAGACTTCCCATGGAGCCGGGAACCTTGTCTCACCACCTTCAAAAGCACCAGGGAAGGAAATGCCTTTTCTCACCCCTCTTTCACCTTAAAAGTTTGCTGGTTCTCAATTTGCTTCTGCTCTGCAGAAAACTGCTTGCCCCAAATTACTAACCAGCATCCCCAAACGTCCTATCTGCAGAGAGTATCTTTTGTTTGTTTGTCCTTTGTGGTGGGTAAGGAGAGCTCTGGGGTTATTTGGCTGTAATGCATTACGTCCTCTCAATATACATTAGTGTGACATGGAGCCAACTCCCATCAGCCGGCATCCCCATCACCAACACTCCAGCTAAATATCAAGCTTGCTTGCTCCTGTCACAAACATTTTTGCAGCCATTTGCTAGCATTTCAGAGAACCATCAAGCTCTCTGGGCCAAAATCCCCATAACCAAAGCCAATATGGTCTCCAATGTTATATAAATCAAGGAAACTTAAGGTTCATTATAGAAATAAAAAATAACAGCTTATAAAATGACACCCCCCCAAAAAAAAAACACTGTTATCAATCATCCAATATTTTCTTTCTAAGCCAGAACTTCTAAATGTTACTTGTCTGGCATGAAACTCACTCAGTACTGTATGGAACTCAGCAGTGCTATATGGAAATCTTGGGAGTTTTGCAAGAAAAAATATATTGGAGCTAATTTCCCAGCTGGGCCTTCAAAACGCCCCCTTCCTGTGCCTGTCCTGGCTGGACTGCAACTCTAAGTTTCCTTCTGGAATGGCAACAGCAGGAGATGTTTGCTTGTTCCCACATCAGCTTTGACAAGTTCCAAGGCCATTTACCTTCCAGAACGGTGCTCTGGCCTCAAGTCTGGGCAGCAGCTGCTTTTTTAGAAATAAAATAGGAGAAGGGGAAGGAGAGGGAGAAAGAAGGAAGAAGTCTGTATCGCATTCCTTTTTAGTGTCTGCTGAGCCTTTTCACTCCAAAACGCAGACTACTCCCACGCAATTTAGTTTAGCATCTGTTTCCTGTTAATGTGTTTTATGGTAAACGCAGCTCACGAGAGTTTGTAAGGCAGGGACAACTGTAAATACAGGCAAAGATGGAGGAAAATCAACTCATAGCCTGGGACAAGTGAGGGTGTGGCAGCACCTGAAGACCTAAGTGTGGTCGGTTTTCCCTATAACAAATAACATGAGAATGAACATCTTTGAGCCACAGCTCTTCACGAGATTTCAATTATCTCCTTCGCACAGACTTAAGCAATGGGCTTCCAAAGACATAATTTTTTATTTTTTATTTTTTTGTGAGATGGAGTCTTGCTCTGTCACTCAGGCTGGAGTGCAGTGGCACAATCTCAGCTCACTACAGCCTCTGCCTCCCAGATTCAAGCAATTCTACATCAGTCTCCCAAGTAGCTGGGATCACAGACGTGCACCACCACACCTGGCTAATTTTTGTATTTTTTGTAGAGACGGCATTTCACCATGTTGGCCAGGATGCTCTTGATCTCCTGAACTCATGATCCATTGATCTATCTGCCTTGGCTTCCCAAAGTGCTGGGATGACAGGCGTGAGCCACTGCACCCGGCCTATTTTTTTTTTTTTTTTTTTTTAGATGTTGTCTTGCTCTGTCCCCCAGGCTGGAGTACAGTGGTGTGATCTTGGCTCACTGCAACTTCCACCTCCCGGGTTCAAGCTATTCTCCTGCCTCAGCCTCCCGAGTCGCTGGGATTACAGGCATGTGCTGCCACACCTGGCTAATTTTTGTATTTCTGGTAGAGATGGGTTTTCACCGTGTTGGCCAGGCTGGTCTTGAACTCCTGATCTCAAGTGATCTGCCCACCTCAGCCTCCCAAAGTGCTGGGATTATAGGTGTGAGCCACCACGCTCGGCTCAGACATGTTTTGATGGCTTTTGATCCTTGTTGCCATATTCACTTTCCATGGGGTAGGTAGAGCAAATGATGTGCACCTTCCACTGTGAGATTTCTAAAGACAAAAATCCTCTATTCTCTACCTGTAGGGAAGATGTAACCTGCTATGAGCACAGGAGAGTGGGAGCTCAGACAGCCGGGTGCAAGCCAGGCTGCATTTCAGCTGGTCTCTGCCACTTCCAGGCCGGACAACCTGGGCAGTCCAGCCGGTCCTCTGGGTCTCAGCTCCCTCAGCTATAACACGTACCAGTTGCCCGGGAAGTGCTTAGCATAGTTCCTGGCACTTCGGAAACACCTAGAAGAGTGAGCTAGAAAAAAGATCAACTTTCACGGTCAAATTCCAGGACCAAGCACACTGGGCTTGAGCAAGGACAACTTCTGTCAGGTCCCAAGACGAAGGCCACCTGTGCTTCCATTCATTTCTCATTTATTCATGCAACAAATGTGTGCTTGCTGCGAGCCAAGCCCTGTGCTGTGGGGATGGGGTAGCCGCAGAGGCAGTTCGCGCTTTCTAGGGCGTTTTAGGACTGTAAGGCATAATGCCTTCCAGTTTGATGAGGGGCGAGGGATAGAGAGAAGAGAGTCTCAGGGGGTGGAATGAGGAAGATAAAAGAGGGTGGTGTGCCAGCCCTGAGCCCCACCTTACATGGGGCATTCGGGAAAGCTCTCTCTGGTGCCCAGCAGAGACCTAGTAAGAAGGAGCTGGCGGGGAGTTCAGACAGCAGGAGACCCAAGGCCCGAGGATACAGGGGCTGACCTCCATCAAGGAGGCCCTCCTGACTGAAGCAAAAAGGCCGTCCTGACTGAAGGCAGGGAGTGAGAGAGAGAGGAGGGAGGGACAGGCCGCACCTCACTCTGCCTTTTCACCCCTACAGAGCTGGGGTTCCTTTCCAGGCTGCACCCCAACTTCTCCCTGTGGGACAACCACCGTTTTTCTGTTTGTCTTTCGCCAGCACCACGTGCGGCCGTGCCCAGCCTGTGGCCTCATTGCCCGCTCTGATGTGCACCACCCGCCCGTGCTGCCGCCCCCTCTGGCCCTGCCCCTGCGCCTGGGCGGCTGGTGGGTCAGCTCGGGATGTGAGGTGCGCCCAGCGGTCCTGTTCCTCACCCGGCTCTTCACTTTCCACGGGCACAGCCGCTCCTGGGAAGGGTATTACCATCACTTCTCAGACCCAGCCTGCCAGCAGCCCACCTTCACCGTGTATGCCGCCGGCCGATACACCAGGGGCACGCCGTCCACCAGGGTCCGCGGCGGCACCGAGCTGGTGTTCGAGGTTACACGGGCCCATGTAACCCCCATGGACCAGGTCACCACGGCCATGCTTAACTTCTCTGAGCCACGCAGCTGTGGGGGTGCGGGGGCCTGGTCCGTGGGCACTGAGCGGGATGTCACAGCCACCAATGGCTGCCTGCCGCTGGGCATCCGGCTCCCACACGTGGAGTACGAGCTTTTCAAGATGGAGCAAGACCCCCTCGGGCAAAGCCTGCTCTTCATCGGACAAAGGCCCACTGATGGGTCAAGTCCCGATACCCCAGAGAAACGCCCCACCTCCTACCAAGCACCCCTGGTGCTCTGTGGGGGAGAAGCCCCCGACTTCTCCAGGCCCCCGCAGCACCTACCATTGCTGCAGAAGCACCCCCGCACAGGGGGTCTTCGCGTAGCCCCCCTCCCACTTCTGCCCCTAGTTCTAGGGCTGGCTTTCCTCTACTGGCTATGACATTGGACTTGACATCAGGATGGTGGCTCTGGACACCCATTCAACTCTTCAGACTCCCTCCTGGAAACTGTAGGGAAGGAACCATTCTCCTCTGCTCTGTCATGGATGGATGCACAGCCCCACTGCTTCCAAACTCTGCCTGCATTCCATGTGGCTCAGGGCATGAGCTTAACACCTGCAAAGCCTATACCACATCCCACAGCCCAAGTCCCAGTCACGCACTTGGACGCGGCAGTGATGTTCATTGCTATGTGAGTTTCTAAAGATCACTCCCAATTTTTCTACTTTCCTTATCCTTGGCAGCCCGCCAACAGGTGCAGTCAGGTGGCCACATGGAACCCCCCCATCCCACGCGGCTCCCCGTTCTTCCCATCCTGACCCTTGGGATTCCAAGATGGGAGCAAGAGGAGACCCTGAGGTTCTGCCTAGGGACAAGGCCTACTGCTCTGCCATGTCTGTAGGTTGTTGTTTAAAGATTATTAATTCGAATTTAGCAATACGATCTCTAAGTGGTGCCATGAATTAAAGATGCCACTTCGGGCTTTCAGTGCTTCTCAGCTTTCTGGCGAAGGGCTTGTGTCTTCAGAGGCAGCTCAGCTTTCCTGAATCCTGACTGCTGGCATTCGTCTGCATCTGCCTGTGCTTCTGTGAGTCAGACCTCAAGCTGCCAATACTGCGTGTGGATAAATCCAGTTTTCCCGGGCCAGCATACAAATGAAGAGGACTCCATCTGAGCTGAGAAGTGTGGCCTCCCCAGAGCAGGCTGCAGCCTCCAAGCCTCCCTAGCCCAAGCGAATGCCAGTGTGCACCAGGCTGGCTGCTGGGGGCAGGTCTTTGGAGGGGAGCAGCGTTTCCAGCCTTCTGAAAGTAGTTAATAGTAATGACCGCCATAACACTAACATGCTCTGCAATTCGCCCTGCCCAGCCATGCTCGGTTGCCAAGATTTCCTGTGCTTGCCTGACAAACGAAATCTCCGAATGTGTATCTTTGGGTCCACCCTAGGGAGAAGTCGGGGTCGCCAGGCTACATGGCGACATCTGGACAGCTCCACCTTGCCCAGCCTCCTTGCCATGATCCTAATATATTGGTGTCCTCTGCTCAGAGAGGACTGTCATCATGGTGGGAACAGGCTGTGCCTCTCCAGGGACTCTACCCGAATTCCCAGGGCCTCATCTGTACACTGAAATTAACTGGCCTCCTGGTGGGCCCGAGAGTTTTCAGGACTGGGGGCTGATGACTCACCCCCTCCTTCCTCCTCCTGATCTCTATCTCTAGCTCTTATCACAGATTTTGAACAATTGTCTGTGAGGTTAATGATGCTTTCAGAGGGAAGCCCTCGTCCTGCTTGAGATTGTGTGGGGTCCAATCAGCCTGCTGAAATTGCTCCCACTTATTACCCATTCTTCTTCTTTAAAAAAAAAAAAAAAGCCCATCAAGTTAGCATTCTCTGTAGGTCTCAGACAGCTACCAGTGTTCCTGGCATATTTACCAAAGTACAAGAAATAATTACATTATTTACAGTTTCAGACTACATCGGGGTTGGGGGGTGGGGACGGCGGTGGGTGTCGATGATGTGTCCACGGCTGAGCAGGTCTTGTATCCGAGACTTGAAGCCATCATGCCACCATTTATCATCAAATTTAAACCTTTTAATAAAATTAAACAGCCTGAAAAATGCTCTTGCTGGTTATTAAAGTCAACCAAGGGAATTATGGTTCTAAAGAAAGGAAGCGGAATGTCCTCCAGAGAATGTGTGAAAGAGAATAAAACCAGTGGAGGTAAACCCCAGCTCTCTCAGTTCTGCTCTCATGTCACTGCCTGCCCTGCTGAAAACCCCCCAGGGGCTTCCACTGCACTCAGAATAAAAGCCTGACTTCTGGCTCACTGTTGCCTGCAAGGCTCAGCCACGCCTCCCCATGCCCTGGCCACACTGGCCTTCTTTCTGTTTCTTGGATCACAGGAGCTGTTGCTGCCTTGGGGCCTTTGCACAAGCCCTGACTTCTGCCTAGCGTCTCTTCCCCAGACCTTCAGAAGCTTAGCACTTTGTTTTCAATCAAGTCTCGGACCAGATGTCACCTCCTGAAGGTGTCACCATGCGCATCCCAAAGAGCAGCCCCACTTCTTCCCCGGTCCTTCTGTCAATCCATTGCATCACAGGTGCATGTTCTTTATCATGAAAACTGATCACTGTCAGAAATGACCTTATTTGCCTAGAATGTAAGCTCCAACGAAAACAACTCGGCTCTGACTCACTGCCTGCAATCTTTCCAGAAGGGTCCAGCGTGCCTGGTGCATGGTAGAAAGACCTTCAATGAATATGGCAGACTCAGCAAATGTTGGTCATCGCTGTGAAGCCTCACACTGAGACCTGTGAATGGGCCACCTCCATCTACCAGATTCAGTGACCCTCGGGAGGCCCAGCTGAGTCAGTGAGAGGGCTGTGAGTCTCTGCGTCTTGCACGCGAGGACACTGAGGCACAGAGAGGAGAAGTGGCTGGGCTCCAGAGCCTGAGATCCAGGACTCTGTCTCACAGCCCGCGGGCTTGGGGTGTCCTCCTGACTCTTGGAGGGAATGGGATTCCTTGATTTTATTTGGGGAAGGCAATTTAGTGTTGCTTCGTGGGACGTGGCGTGAGCCATCCCTAATGAAAAGGAGTGTGTTGAGCAGGACAGCAGCTTCCTGGATCCCCTCAGTTGGACTTAGTTGCTCTCTGCTCGCTGGGGCTTGTTAGTGTGGGGGCAGGTGATGCTGCTTGGAGCTACGAAGGCTGAAGAAGGGGCAACCATCCCTTTTCTCCCAGGCAGAGGGTCAGGGCTTCCAAGACTCTGGGCTGATAAAGGAAGGGGTCGTTTCAGAGGCTGAGGGGCTGAGACTCCCTGGCGACAGGGCCAGAGGCCCATGGGCACCAAGCCTTCCTTCCAGCCCTTTGCTCCTGCCCCTTAAGTCTCTGCCCTTCACATAAAACGTGAGAGCGCTCTCATCCACAGAAGGGGAGGAAAGCCCAGAGTCCTATTTCCAAATAAAATTAATGTTCTCCATTGCATGTTCAGTCACGCTGAAAGGTGAGGGGTGGGTGGGAAGCCCATGCAGTTGATAATTTCATTGTGCAACTCCCAGGAGAGCAAATGAGCTTTTTTCCCTTAATAAAAAGTTGAAATTGTATACAGCTCTCAGAGGTCCATTAACTAACAGATGCTGGTTATCATAAGAAGCTCTTTGCCTTTCACTAAGCCCATGTTTTTAATCTCCCAGCGGTGCTACCGGGCTGAGCAGCAGCGTGTGGCTTGGTGACGCAGGCCTGCCAGCACGTGGCCCTGGTCTGTGCATCCTCTCCTGGGGCACAGGTGACTCAGGCATGAGGGGCTAGAGCTTTCTGACGCAGAATGGAGCACTGCATCAGGGCCTGGTCGGGGCTGATTCATACCCATTAGCATTGCAGACTGGAGCCAAGCAGGGAAGAGCTGTTCCCACTTCAAGAGGGGACTTGAACAGTAACGTGCAGCCTCCAGTCTGCTCCTGATGGTTCTGAGAGACTGAAAGCCTGCTCCTTCTCACACACACAACCCCCCTTAAATGGATGTCAGCATGAACACAAATGACCTGTCGACATTCCCCAAAACCACCCGTCCAAGCTTCCAGGCAGACCCTCCTCCTGCCCACTTGGCACCTCCACCTTCCATTTCGGCCACAGTGGCCTCCTTGCTCTCCTGCAGTCCCATGGAACCTGGTGCCTCTCAAGGTCTTGGCTCCAGCTCTCCCTCGCCTGGAAGGCTCTGCCCACGTCACCCCTGACTACCCTAAAGATAGCGTCCACCACAGCACAGTCACTTCATCACAGCATTTGTCAGTAGCCAAAATCTGAAAAAATTCCTGGTTGTTGGTTTTCACCTATTGTTAGCCCCTCTCCTCTAGCATGAGCTCTGTGCCAGCAGGGTCCTTGTCTGTCTCGTTCTCCGTGGATCCCCAGTGTTAGAATGGTGCCGGGCACATAGTAGGAGGTAAATAAATACCAGTTAAAAGAATACATGTTCCAAGACCTGGTTGGAGACTCTGAATTCAAGCAGCAGGATGACACCCACACACTATACTGGCTTGGAATTTTGATGTTGCTGACTTTTTTTCTAATCAGGTGGGCAGAGCAGAACCAAGGCCTGTGAACTTGAGGACATCTGTTTTCTACTAGCCAGGATATTTCTAGAATAGCATTAAAGACCACTGCTATCCCCGAATAGGAGGCCACAGGGCCTGGTGAGAGGTGCCTTGAGACTCCATCTCAAGCTTCTCATCTCCCAAAGGCCAGGGAGACTGGGAGAGCCTCAGCCTCACACAGGTATCCAAGACTTCCCTTTCTTAGTTTTGGAGCCTCTATCTCCCCCACCCCCCACCCTGCCAGCTTCAGTTTCTTTATCAATAAAATGAGCTGAAACCTGATAGTTCCTGAAGCCAACCAGCCCCAACACCAGTTACAGGAAGACCCAAAATAGTAAGTGATTCAAATGGAATCAATAACGTATTTTGAGAGAAATGGCAAAAAAAAAAAAAAAAAAAAGAAAAAGAAAAGAAAAAAAGAAAAAGCTGGGCGCGGTGGCTCATGCCTGTAATCTCATAACTTTGGGAGGCTGAGGCGGGCAGATCACGAGATCAGGAGATCGAGACTATCCTGGCTAACACGGTGAAACCCCGTCTCTACTAAAAATACAAAAAATTAGCCAGGCGTGGTGGCACGCGCCTGTAGTCCCAGTTATTCGGGAGGCTGAGGCAGGAGAAACACTTGAACCGGGAGGCGGAGCTTGCAGTGAGCCGAGATTACACCACTGCACTCCGGCCTGGGTGACAGCAAGACTCTGTCTCAAAACAAAACAAAACAAACTCTTAGTGAGGATAGGTCTTTGTCCTGTGATATAGTATGTATTTCCTAGGGGTTATTAATAACCTACTGCTCTCACTCCTGCATTTGACACTGTTTTTAATCCCTCAGGAGAAAAAAAATTACCAAAACTTAGGTGGTCACTCCTTCTGGTGAAATCAACTGCCTGTTTAGTAAAAAGACTCAGACATTTGCTGAGCACCCATCATGTGCCAGGTGCTATGCTGGGTGTCTTAGAAGGAAGGCCTTCCAGACTTCCAGCGAAGGTGGGGCAGGCAGACACCTACCTTTAGCTCCACTTCCTTCTGAAGTCCCAACAAATTATGGGAAAGAATTAAAGGGCACAAGATCACATGAATAAACAGAAAAGTAAGAAAGAACATAGCCAACAGGAGATGTCAGCACAATTCTGGGATCTGGCAAGCTGATGGGTAATTTATCACTGGCGGGAGATTACAGAAGGTGAAAAGCAGCTTGGTCGAGGGGCGCAGCTCAGAAGCAAGTCCACTTGTGCCATGAATCCCCCCTAAGGCTAAGGAAATGGTGGCCCTAGGCATGGCAGAAACCAACAGCACAGTAGGGCTAAAAACAGGAGGAATCTTTGAAATGTTTTACAAGTCTGTAAAAGGAATTCTACTCCTAGATCCCATCCCTAACCACTGTAAGAAACCAAAAGTTTAACCCGAAAATCTCTGGACTTAGCAACAGCCCAGGGTAGAGTATCATGCTAAAAATTTAGATACAGGTTAAGTATCCCCAGTATGAAAATTCAAGATCCAAAATGCTCCAAAATCCACAACTTTTTATGAGTGGTGACACAATACTCAAAGGAAATGCTCATTGAAGCATTTTGAATTTTGGATTTTCAAATTAGGAATGTTTAACTGGGAAGTATAATGTAAATATCTGAAAATCCAAAAAAAAATCTGAATTACAAAACACTTCTGGTCTCCAGTGGAACAACATGCAAAAAATACAGAACAACAACAAAAAAGAACAAAGCAATAAAGGGCTATAATATCCTCAGTGAAAAAAAAACATACATACATCTTGCAGCAGGTTGCTGTAACAAAGAATAACTGGAAAAGAAAGATGTCTTGAAAATTATAAATATGTTAGCAGAAAAAAATAAAAAGGCTGGAAATTAAAGTTGAAGAATGTTCCCAGAAACAAAAGAAGAATCAGGAATTAGAATGGTGCTTGATTTCTTTCATTTTTTTTTTTTTTTTTTATTATACTTTAAGTTCTAGGGTACATGTGGATAACGTGTAGGTTTGTTACATATGTATACTTGTGCCATGTTGGCGTGCTGCACCCATCAACTCGTCATTTACATCAAGTATAACTCCCAATGCAATCCCTTCCCCCTCCCCCCTCCCCATGATAGGCCCTGGTGTATGATGTTCCCTTCCCGAGTCCAAGTGATCTCATTGTTCAGTTCCCACCTATGAGTGAGAACATGCGGTGTTTGGTTTTCTGTTCTTGTGATAGTTTGCTGAGAATGATGGTTTCCAGCTGCATCCATGTCCCTACAAAGAACACAAACTCATCCTTTTTTATGGCTGCATAGTATTCCATGGTGTATATGTGCCACATTTTCTTAATCCAGTCTGTCACTGATGGACATCTGGGTTGATTCCAAGTCTTTGCTATTGTGAATAGTGCCGCAATAAACATACGTGTGCATGTGTCTTTATAGCAGCATGATTTATAATCCTTTGGGTATATACCCAGTAATGGGATGGCTGGGTCATATGGTACTTCTAGTTCTAGATCCTTGAGGAGTCGCCATACTGTTTTCCATAATGGTTGAACTAGTTTACAATCCCACCAACAATGTAAAAGTGTTCCTGTTTCTCCACATCCTCCCCAGCACCTGTTGTTTCCTGACTTTTTAATGATTGCCATTCTAACTGGTGTGAGATGGTATCTCATTGTGGTTTTGATTTGCATTTCTCTGATGGCCAGGCGCTTGATTTCTTAAAGGCAACACTAGAGGCTGGAAATCGGTGGTACAATGCTTCCAAAATCCTCAGAATGATTTAAACCTTGTGTTTTATACCCTGTACAACTATCAATCAAGTGGGAGAGCAGAATGGGACATTTTCAGACATGTAAAGTTCTCAACAAAATTATGTCCCACATACTCCTTGCTCAGAGACCTGCTAAAGGATGTGCTCCCCCAAAATGAGGTAGTAAAACAAAAGAGAGGAAGCTAGAAATCCAGAAAAGAAGGGATCCAATCCAGAAGAGTGCAAAAGGAGTTCTGAAGATGAGAGTGAGTGAAGGCCCTGGAATGAGAGCTGTGCAGTAGGCTTAGATAGCAGTCAGTCCAGAGAGGAGCAGGAAAACAGAGAGCTCCAGGAGTGATCTAAGAAAACCAGAAAAATCAGATTGCCTGAGGTGTTGTGATTGTGCTGAGGAGATTTACACTTCTATCAGGGTCTGGGCTAAATAGGTGA